TGGTTTTTCCCTTAATAAACAGAAACACCCCAATGACAATCAGAAGAGGTCTGATATATGAAGGTGGGTTGCTGTGCGACTATCTGTGGACGCTCTAGCTCACAGCTTTGAGCAAAACGGTCTCGAACGTATTTCGTCCTGCCTTCAAACGATATCCAGGTGACTTTGCAAATCAGCAGGCCACAGCCAATGAGATAACTTGGCAGAATGCGAATTCTGCAATCGCCTCTTCCAAGTCCACATAAACAACCGTTTCAACCAGATGACACATCCCAATTGTTGGGAAAAAATAGCACATCTTTCGCTGCATTTATCGCGCTTTTTATTTTAGTACTCGTCAGCATTAACAGAAACAGTGTATGAGGAGTACAGACACAGATCATTAAATCGCAATGTCAGGGGACACGTGATTGGTGTCAGCACCCATAATGAGCGCATTTCCGGACAAATGGCCTAATGCGCCACCAGCAGAACTGGCCAATGTAAACGCGGCTGACCGTCGAAATTCAAGTCTGATGCTGTCTGGATGGCTAACTGGTCGTCCTCTGACCAGCCGACGCAGGAGATGGGCAATTGGCCCAACTGCTGTATCAAATTCACGTCATGTCTGGCATCCTACAGCAGGTCCTCGGGATCACTCCAGTCGCGGGCTGAGGGTGGAATGCTGAGAACGCAGTCCGACGAATGAGAGTCCATCGCGGTAAACCTGCAGGCAGGAAGGGATGGAAGATGGGGGCGGAGAGAATTACGTTGTCAACAGACGTCAGACACCTTTGTCATGCATAGTTTACACCAGTGTGCACACAGCACGAAGGCTTTGTCGTGTAGCCGTCACACAGTACCCTCATGCAGCATTATCTCCGCAGGCATGCGTTCAGAAATGAATGATCGTGAGCGACGACCGGGCGAAATCCTCCTTTTGCATAAAGTGCTCTAAGATTACATTCATACTGATGTACGGCGCTGATCTGATTTCCATCATTCAGAAAAAGGGACCTTTGCTGCAATTTTCGCAGGAAGTCCAGGTAGTGCATCACTGCCTGTCATTATCGAGACAGGGTTCACTGCGGGCAGTCATTCTGGAGAATTCGGCCGACAGATTGACTGTCCGTTTCATCCTTATCTACAGGCGTGAGATGTGTAACTACCTGCAAGCCAGGTAAGATATTTGCAGAAGAAAAGACCCAGATCTAGCATGATACTACTGCGACGTCTCAAACTCTCACTCCAGTCCGCCATCAAGGATCAATGAAAACATCGAAGGCTATTGAATCCCAGGACGTTGTAGGACATAGGTGTGTGTGCAAGACAGTTCACTCTCCAGACGTGCCTTAAAAGCAATACTTTTCTGACGTCTGTGCCAATGAGCGGTCTCTGTATGCTAGCATCCCCACCCAATCTTCAGAGTGTACAAATTGACTGCGTATTGTAGTCGACGGTATCTGCCTCATTTGTATGTCGCATTTCCTCATGCGACTTTAAAGGTGTATTCTGATCTACATCTACATCACTTTGTAAATACACCCAACATCAAACTACATTGGAGAACGAGCATTCCTCTTAAGGCCTCGTAATCAGTGATGGTGGCGACGAGGGGCCCACGGGAATAAGCAGAATATTCTTGCCTCCTTGGCGCCTGTCGCAGATAGCGGATGCTGACGGAATGGGCCTCCTCGTAGGCACCAAACATTTGATTTTTGCGGCGGGCCCTGAGGCCAATTCGGAAGGAGACGAGCAGTCCTTAGCGTCAACCAAGTCCAAGGGGATTGAACATGCATGCTCTACAATGATTCCGATAGGAGAAGATGCAGTTGGATTTTTAAAATTGCAAAATGCCCAATATTATCTGGCACAGCGTAACTGCAGATACATGTGCAATTAGTCCTGACGGACAGGGCGCATCGACCTGTAACACTATTTAACTGTGGATGCAAAATCAATGAAGACATGCCCAATATTAAGAGGGCTCTGGATTTTGTCCTACTCCAATGCAGGTCTCTTCTCGTAGGTTCGCGTACCAGGTCGGTCACGGTTGATGAAAAATGCAATCTTGTGTCTAAAGATAGCACGATCTCGTAAAGGTTCAGTCTCGTCTTCGGGGCTCAGTCTGATATTTTTATGTTGATTTAATTCAGGTCTGAGAACCGCCTCCACATCAAAATATGTTTTTCGTGTCATCAAGCTTGACAGAATGTGTGTAGGCCTGACCCTCATGTCTAACTCTTCTTCTTCTCCATGGTACGGCTGCGATCATGCCTGATCTAGTCGGCATCATCGAGGCCTTCTCTGCCTGTCAGTCGCATTTATATAACATCATTCGTTCTTTCGCCTGTGTTAGAGAGAGGGAGAGGGAGAGAGGGAGCACGATAGATCACATTTTGCAAGTGTCATTCCAAAATTTTCAGCAAATAGGCCTCCATCCACAGTGCATAAAAATGGGGCATGCAAAGCAGATACATCTCGTGACCGGTCTCATGAAATGTTGATCGAAATTCTGAATGGAGTTTCCGATTAGGAAGGATTACTTAGGTGGGGTTGTAACATTGATTATCATACGGCATAACGCTATGCTATTTCGGACTCACCAAGATGTCTCCTTTTGAATGCACGCAACACGAAGCCGCCATGGAGAACAAGCATTTCGCTTAAGACGTCGCAATCAGTGATGGCGGAGACGAGAATGGGAGGGAGGGAATGAGCAGGATATTGTTGACTCGTAGGCGCCTGGCGCAGATAGCGGATGCTGACGGAAAGGGCCTCCTCGTAGGCACCAAACATTTGATTTTTGCGGCGAGCCTCGCTGAGGCCAATTCAAAAGGAGGAAGGAGACGAGCAGTCCTCAGCGTCCACCAAGTTCATGGGGATTGAACATGCACGCTCTACAATGATTCCGATAGGAGAAGATGCAGTTGGATTTTTAAAATTGCAAAATGCCCAATATTATCTGGCACAACATAAATGCAGATACATGTGCAATTAGTCCTGACGGACAGGGCGCATCGACCTGTAACACTATTCAACTGTGGATGCAATATCAATGAAACCATGCCCAATCTTAAGAGGGCTCCGTATTTTGTCCAACTCCAATGCAGGTCTCGGTTAGATCGCAGTTGGTAGCCAGAAATGGGGAGGCGGACAGCCAGGTCCCTGTCGTACGGCAATGGTGGGAAAGAGGGTTATATAGGGGGGGGTAAATGGAAGGGCTGTTTCTGCTGTTTCTGGGTAAAAGTATATTTACCAGAGAAAGTGCTGTGAATTTATAAGTAGGGGGAATAATGGCAGAAATGTAAACCCCACGCTTATCCCTAAAATCCAACCCCTGACGGCAACCGTAAGGCCTAACCCTAAGCCTCAAAACCGACACGTAACCAAAATCCTACGACCCAACGCTTACCCAAAACCTAGCAATAACCCTAACACCAACCTTAAGCCTATCCCTAGCCCTAACTTTAAGCCTGAACACAACCTTAAGCCTAACCTTAGCCCTAACCTTAACATTAACAGTGACCCTAACGGGAACCTACTGACAACGAGTACGTACGTCGACAGTATCAGCACAATGTCTGGCTAATAACTGCGATCTTACCCAGGTCTCTTCTCATAGGTTCGCGTATCAGGTCGGTCGCGGTTGATGCAAAATGCAATTTTGTGTCGAAATATTGCATGATCTTGTGAAGGTTCAGACTCGTCTTCGGGGCTCAGCCGGATATTTTCATGTTGATTTAATTGAGGGCTCAGAACCGCCTCCACATCAAAATATGGTTTTCGTGTCATCCAGCTTGACAGGATGTATGTAGGACTGCCCCTCATGTCTTTCTCTTCTTCCCCATGGTACGGCTGCGATCATGTCTGATCTAGAAGGCATCATCGAGGCCGGATCTCTATCTCTGTCAGTCGCATTTATATAACATCATTCGTTCTTTCGCCTGTGTTAAAGAGAGAGCGAGCGCGATAGATGTCATTTTGTAAGTGTCATTCCAAAATGTTTACCCAATAGGCCTCCATCCACAGTGGATAAAAATTGGGCATGCAAAGCAGATACAGAGCGTGACCGGTCTCATGAAATGTTGGTCGAAATTCTGCATGGAGTTTTCGGTTAGGAAGGATTACTTAGGTGGGGTTGTAACATTGATTGCCATACGGCATAACGCTATAGTAATTCGGACTCGCCAGGATGTTACAGTTTGAATGGACTCCTTTTAGACCTCATGCAGAAACCATACTCGGAAAATAACAACTACTTATTTAGCATGCATTTTCAAATTAATTGTTGTCTGTACCCATTAATTCAAATATATTTTGTTGAATGCATAAAAATATGCATCATTTACACGATTGGTCGGTAACCACATTGTGCTCACACTTATACCCGAAATGGGGCATATTTCGGCTTGCAAAATATGTATGTTAGTGGGGCGCTCACCGATCGTTCATACGGAACTCACTCGTTCCGTTGTGCCTTAAGGGCTCTCTCTCGAGCCCAACCACCAGCCGCACAGCGGCGCATGATATATAGGCAGAATGCTATTACCGACAAAGACAAGGGAGACTGGAATGGCCATTTCTGTCTTATAAGCCAAAATATGTATGTATGCATGGACATCGCACGGTCTTAAGGATCTCATAATTCTTAAAACAGGAATGTATCAATTATTGGGGTATAAAAGTTAAAGAGGATATGACTTTCTACCAAACGAGTAAAAGTAAGCCTATTTTGTGCGTTTTCTACATAATATATTTGAATTTATTGGGCCAGTAAAAAATCCATACTAAACAAGTAGTCATTTTTCAACGAGCATGGTTTATTCAGGAGATCGAAAAGAAGTGTATTCAAAAGGCGACATCCCGGCGAGTCCGAAATACTATAGCGTTACACCGTATGACAATCAATGTTACAACCCCATCTAAGTCATTCTTCCTAGTCGAAAACGCATTTCGGCCAATATTTCATGAGATCGGTCATTCACTGTGGTAACCAGAAGATCAGAAGAGTGCTAGCGTTGTATACTGATGTGGCTGATGGACTTTGGCCGAAATATTCATGCATACAAACTTTGGTCTGAGCCTATGGAACTTAAAGTTACAGATGTTCTCTAAGTTTGCAGTTAATTTCTAAGGAAATTAAAAAGCAACGATGACCTCGTTATTATAGTTCATATAAACGAAGAGGGGAAAATTTCTGTATATAATGCGTGAAATAGGCCAACAGATGTACATATAAGAAAATTCCCATGTGAATGAAGAGTAAAAAAGAGGACGACTGAAATTCGAAATTGAACTGTTTAGAAGACTGTTTAACTGACCGATAACTAACCTGTCCTGCGACGGCGGTGGCGGCGGCGGAGATGATGTGTGGTAGGACATTTAGCGGTTGGGGCAACTTGTGTGTCTGTGGCAGTCCGTTCTCCTGGTCGTCAGTCTGGTTATTCTCTCATGACGCCTTCTGTAAGCCTAAGTAACACCTCCTGCCAATTGCAACGCACGTGATATGGCCACGACGTGTCATTTGCTGATCGGGATTGTAGGCGGACAAAGGTCATGTGTGCACCCACCCACGCACGCACGCAGTGCACTCGGCGAGGCGCGGTTCTCTCTCACCTGCGGTCTTCTTGATTTTGTCATGAAAAATGGGCCCATCAGGTGTGGTTATGCAGTAAACAAACCCCAGCCATCTGTAATACGAGACCGGTGGTAATAGGAGTTTTTGCAGGTGCGGCCCTCGAACCCGTGGGCGAAGATGTCAAGTAATTTGTGCAAAAGAAAAGCTATTGGAAATTGAAATATTTTGAAGGGTTGAGATTCAGCCGCCCTAACCCATAACCCCGACCTCAACAGTATTGTGTCCATCAGGTGGGGCTGCATAGCCAGAACTTACCAGGAGCCCAGGCGGTTGTGGATGAGAAGGAGAGAGACCGGGGTAGATGCATTGTAAGTCTACCACTATTATAAACTAAATCACGCGCATGTCACCGCCTCTGCGACACCCTGCTGTCGTATGTAAGGTCATTACCCTTCATTAGTTAGGTCGCCTACCGTACCGACAGTCTAACTTTCGAGCTACCTCCGACAAATCTCCATCCCTTTACAGGTGATTAAGTGCACCATTACTTGCGCCAACGTGTGAAATTTCGGAACTTGATGGGAGACGATGCCTGCAACTGGCGGATAATTAATTGTTCTTTGGTGTCTTGTTGTTCGCTTGTGATCCCAGTTGATCATCATCGCCGTCTTCGAGACACGATGCGATGGCCGTGGGAGTATGACAGATACCGTTCCTGACCTATCTGATGATTTCTAACCACAAACTGCGCACTCGAGTAATTGTAACGCACGAACCACCCACCCTGCATCCACGAAGGGCATACTGGATCGAAGAAACGATTCACCTTCAAAAGAAGGCAGTGTTTGGCTTCCGCAGTAACCGGCATGATCTTCGCCGCCCCTCAACTGCAGGAAAAGTGTCAGCAGATGTTGACCCACTTCTACTCTACCCTCGTGGATCTGACGAAAGACTTCGACATGGTGAATCGTGACAGACGGTGGAAAATTATGCAAAAACTCGTCGGTCCCGAGCGATTCACTCAGATGGTGTGTCAGCTCCACGATGGCGCGAGTCACGGACAATACAGCTGTCTCAGAGGCATTCACTGTGACCAACAGAGTGAATCAGGGATGCGTTCTCGCACCTAGCCTCTTCAGTCCCGCGTTCTCCTAGCCACTGGCATACTAATGGATGCCTACCGTGACGAATGCACTGGGATCGGTATCGCCTACAGGACGGACGGCCACCTACTCAATCAGCGGCTGATGTACTTCCAATCGCGTATTTCTCTTCGCCGACGACTGCGCTCTCAACGCCACCTCGGAAGGTGTCATGCAGATCCGCATGGATCGGGAGAAATTTATTAGAGGTCTGACAATTCGTCTACCCATCCTCAAAGACTGGGAAGCGATTTGCACAGCTCTCCTTATAGGGGGCATTTTGTTTGTTGCCTGGTCTGCCAATGCCGCCTGTGTGACTGCATTCGTCCCGCATGTCACCGTGACCTAAATCGTCCCCGCCCTCGTCGACCGCGATGATGGTTTCCGCGCGAGGCTTCCCACTATTCTCACGATAGCTCGAAGCCAATCAACATTGCCCATTCTCTGATTGTCTGTTGGACGCTAACTGGGACAGAGCGAAAGGGGCACACACGCCCTTGGAGGCGGACGGGAGGGGGAGGAGACAAACTCAACGGCAGACAATCAACTTGCCGGGAGGGACAGCTCGCGGCGACTGCTTGCAGGGCCTTCTGTACCCACCTCCTCGGCAGTAAAGTTTGTCCAGGGGGTGCGGAGTAGAGCGCCAAGGCGAGGATCCGTCCGAGCCATCCACCTTCGGCCTCCCTCGTCTCCGGTCTTCTTGACTCTGTCTTGACACCGGGCCCAGGCGGGGGGAGGAGAGAGTGTAGGTAGATGCTACGAAAGTCTACTGACACTATAAACCCCTGCGCAAGTCATCGTCCCTGCTCCCACCGCTGCTGTGTACAACATAATGACTGTTGTATACGAATATTACTCAAGTATGATGACAATATCAGTAGACATGCCCGCGATTTGCCATACTTCCATGCAGAACGCAGCGTATAGCCTTGCGAACCAAATGCGGTGAGATGGATGCAAAGAGTAGTGTCACGTCGAAGAACATTATCGCCTCTTGAAGCTCCACTTTGGCTCGCGGGAATTATTGAGGCGTTGAGATGCCGATTTTACTGACTTCCCGGCAGACTGGGCTGCCGCCTAGGGCTACGAGTAGTCGAGTCAAAAGGTGGGATTTGTGGATTTGGGTAACCCCTAGCAGTAGTTGTAGGATGCCTTCGCTATGCTACTGCATGCCTATGATAATTAACCGCCCACCCGCTTAATCGAGGATTGTTGCCCGCTGGTGCGCTAATTGCTTCATGACCGGCATGCAAACTGCTAATTGCTGAAATCTCATCACTCGTGTTGCATGCTGGCGTGATGATTGCTCGGCCATCTGGCTCACCGGCCTGCGGGCAGGGAGCGCAAGCATGCACAAGGATTGCATCGCTCGGCATGATCTGATGCCGTCTCTGATGTGAACCTGAAATGTCAGTCGGACAAAGTTCGCATTTCCTCGGTTGCGTCTGCTCCGTCTTCCTGAAATAAAATATTTAAACACATGATTGGACCTTGGCCTTCAAATATACCTTCTCATGGTGAGGTGGGAGGAAGTAGAGAGCATGTATGTACAGGGACAGCCACAACCGGTCTTTGCTCTGCACTGATCCAGACAACTCCGCCATAAGACTTTAATCACCTCTCCACACCGCTTGAATGTCAATATGCTTCTACTATAATAATTATCGTCTTGCCACGTCTCACACTGATCTGGTGGCAACTGGCCAAGACCCATCTCCCCAATGCTAAGCAAACTTTTGCATTTTCGAGCGCGACTACGCAGCATAATGATGGCTTGCTATCTAAAATCAATGCCAGATGTTATATCTCAGCGTATCTGTTGCCGGTCATATACATGGGTTCTTCATGTTAACCTGGACTCCGTTTGAATTTTGATAAAAATGATTCTCCAAATAAGACCCGAATATGCGCGCAAGCGCGTTCTCAATACCAGCAGGATCTTTCGGCGTGTTTGCAAGTTACTCTGCCTGCTTTAATCTTCTCCCATTTGTCCTCTCTGTCCACCAGTGCATACTACCAAGCATTCTTCGCACAGCTGCCCATGTGTGTCGCACGTTAGACAGAGACGTCACGTCATCTTAGCTACTAGTTCACGCCCACTGCCCCTGCCTGTCGCCACTCCGTCATCTACTCCATCAGGACAATGGCTGGTTCGGTTATTTGAATGTGCCCCTACGAGACTGCGAGATGACTAACTGGTAGCGTAAGTGCGCAATTGACTGTGCACACGAAACCTGAACGGAAGAGTGCAGTTTATGCTAAAGTCCCAGCAGCTCCACCAGGATCAGTCTCCTAACTGGTTCAATGCCTTTATGGCGCATGTCCAGTGGGAAAGTGGACATGAGCGCAATGCTGATCGTCCTCTGGATATGTCACCGTCTTGTCTAAAACGCCGCGCAATATTCACAACGGACTGCAATCCATCGCCAGTCTCATCAGCCATTGACAATAGTTCTGTTTGCGGATCATCGTCAGAGGCAACTTCTGGCTCATAGAGGCCGAGCAGTAATTTCGGTGCCTGGGGCGACCAGCCGACTGGTTAAGGAAATTGCAGCCATTAGCGAACTCCACCGTGTGTTGCACAGACTAAACGCAGCACTGACGAGGTTCGCGTGAATCAGTTTATTGTGAGGCATACCTGCGCAACATGCATCCCACTCCCTCGCTCCCACACCCACCGGACCCCGATGGAAAGACAATGTCCAGATGACCGGAGGTGGGATCGGGCGAAGTGGTGGACAGAACTACAAACAGTCCGCCTTTACGTTCGCTGACGCGACCCGGTAGGGCATCGCGTTGCGTGAAAGAACATGCACCACACAATCTTGAACGATGCATGTCCCGTCCATGTGTCGGGTGATGTGGAGTGATGTGATGCTGTATGAAGACAGTACATATTTTGCCGCGTTCAACATTTCCGTCATCACTCCAAGGGATGCCATTGTATCTGTTTTCGATTCAGTGCGAATCCGACGACGATGCACCAGTGAAGCCAGTACAGCATCGGTTTATGCAAACGCACAGCGACAGCGAAGACGAGAAGCGAAGGACAAACGACAGAAGGAGACCAGTAATGAACTCCCTCGAAGGCAGACCACAATCGAGGCTCCCTGAAGACACAAGTCGGTACGAACACTATAGTTCGACCGTCGTTGTCGACGATGTCCACCTTGTGCTCCACAGCAACTTGAGAGCAGGGGATGGTGACTTGAGCCCTGAATTAGTTTATAGTTATAGCAGACTTGCACAGCGTCTATTGCCCTCCCTCTCTTCCCCCTCCCTGCCTGGACCCCGTCTCAAGACAGAGCCAAGAAAACTGGGGGCGTGGGGGGGGGGGACGCAGGTGGATGACGCGGTTGGTCCCGCACCCTTGCGCCCCACTCCACACCCCTGCTCCACACAACAAATGACCAGCTTTTTGACCAAGGGCAACAATGGAAAGGGGGAGCAGGGGCTTGAATGAGCGCGACGTATGTCGACATCTGGGTCTGCCACCGCATCTCCAAAGTGTTGGCATTTGTTTTGGTGCGCAACTCCGATAACGCCTGCCAGAATTAGCTGTGGTGCCCGTGTTGATCCAGCGCATCTACCGCGTGGTCCGTTTGGGGGGCATCGGTACGTACACAATAATTCGTCTCTATCTCTTCACAAAATGTCCATCGAGTGGCCACAAATGTCGAGGCTCACTGACGAAGTCATATATTGAAAAATTAATGCAACTCCAACGCAGCAAAAAAATGAAGGGTCTGGTGTTGTTTTGGCGGACAGGGCCAACTACATTGCAAAAATACAGTCAATTGTTTAGGGACAGGAAAATTTCCGAAAGGCAGAAAATGAAAAGGATCAAACAGATGAGGTTGAAGCTCAGTTGATCGACTGTTTGAAAAGACTTCAAACGAATGGTTTCATAAGTGAACACGACCTACAGCGTCTCCGACCCCTGGGCGCGCATACAGCTCGGTTATATGGCTTGCCAACTATCCGCAAGGAGGGCAGGTCGGTTCGTCCAATTTGAGACAAGAGGAAATCGCAATATTATACAATAGCAAAAGGACTAGCGGAGAAATTGAAGCCCATACAGTACCGGCTAGCATTACATATCGATACGGACCTTCGCGATATTGTAGATTGTCCGCCCACAAAAGCCCAAATGCGGCCTTAAACTAGGCACTCACCTGCCGCATTTCATTATCAAGGCAAAAACGTCTGCATCGTTTGATTTCGAAGAGGACCTTGATGGCAGGAAGTATACGCAGCTCCACGATGGCATGATTGCACGAGTCACAGACAATGGAGCTGTCTCGGAGGCATTCACAATGACCAACGGAGTGAAGCAGGGCTGCATCCTCGCGCCCACCCTCTTCAGTTTTATGTTCTTTGCCATGCTGATGGACGCCTACCGTGATGAACGCCCTGGGATCCGTATCGCCTACAGGACGGACGGCCAACCCCTCAATCACTGGCGGATGCACTTCCAGTCGCATGTATCCACAACTACCGTCCATGAACTTCTCTTCGCGGACGATTGTGCTCTCAACGCGACCACATAAAGGGGCATGGATCTCTTCGCCGCCGCCGCCGCCGCCGCCGCCGCCGCCTGCGACAACTTAGGCCTGCTCATCAACACCGAGAAAACGGTGGTTATGCATCAACCGCCATCCGAGGCTGTCTACGTCACACCCCAACTCAACATTGGTGGCGTCCAACTGTAAGTCGTGGACAACTTCGCCTATTTGGGAAGTACACTCTCGCGCAACACAAACATCGAGGACGAGGTTGCCCGTCTGCTGTACAAAGCCAGCCAGCCAGTCTGTGAGATCAACTTAAACCACACACAATAAGTTCGTTTCGCCTAATGTCAGCAGTCAAGGAGCTGTGGGGACTAGTTTATTCTGTACACAGGGCAGGTTGTTGTAAGCTGGCTGTTTGCTTGAAACAGAGATAAGTCTCCGTTCACGGAGATCGTCGGTCGCGGTGTGTCGTTAAGGGGGGGGGTTGAAAGTCTGTGTCAGTAGGTGGGGGTGACTTGTTGAGTGCTGGTCGTGAGATTGGACGGATTAGGGGGGGCGCATAATCACGGGTACCAAGCCAGAGCGTTCGACGCGCGTGAGGCGATGATAATGGGAGGACAGTCGGGAGTCACTGCAGCTGGACAGGAGGGGCCTCAGTTCTTGCCGGCGGGGGTAGTGGGAGAGGGAGATCTAAAGCACAACGGAGGATGTGACTTCCCTGTTCACACCTTCTTTGTGATAATTGGCCACCCAACAGCCCATGACAGTTACTCCTGCCATCTACCCAACCGTTTCCACAGGCCTCCTCACTTCTGTTGTTTCTCGTTATCAGTACACCTTCTACCTCCAATTAACATTCTGTTTTGCATACATAACATATAGTAGTTTGCCTTGGAGGCTGACAGAGAATAATCAGGCATGGAGATTACCAGGCGTCGCACTACGCTAGACGGAGGACCTGCTTGCATAATCTGGTGTCGCCTAAACTGCAACCGTACTTCTGCCATCCTGTACCTCGGGCGTAATGACTCAACTGCTATTTGAATACCCTTGGACTGTGCACACACTCTCAAGAAGATGGCAGCAGAGAGCAATTTGAACGACTGGTAGGATTGTAAACAGTCCTTTTTTTCTGCCCTTTCACCGTTTTCAGATTGACAGTCTCCTAAACCGTGCCTGCTCCCACCTCGCTGTGGAGCACACGGTGGACATCGTCGGATGCGTCGGTCGAACTGTCATAAAGGCAGGACCTCTCAGTCGGTGACTGAATGGTTACTCCTCCCTGAAGAATGGTTGTCAAGGCTACATGAAGGGCTGCGTCTCACCCTTGTGAGCTTTAGAGATTGTGTCGATTGGCGCTTCCTTCTACTTCCCCCCAAAGGAAACTAACTACACTCGGTTTGCATGACCGCGTTTGTCTCTTCCCGGCCCATCTGCTCTGATATCCAGTCATTGGATAGATAGAGAGAGAGAGTGAGAGAGAAATTCGCTTTATTTTGAAATTATAAATTCAAAATTTTCAGCAAAAAATGGGCTCCATTCACTATGGACAGCAAACATGTTAATAGATTACTCAAGAGCCAACACGTTTAACACAAATGTACAATTATTATGGGGACAGTTCAAGTCTAAGCTTCTGTACTTCTGTCTCTTCACACGTAAGATATGGCGCTAGGAATGGCAATACAGAACCTCGATATGACAGGATAGCAATATAGAATAAGAGGTAGAATGTCCTCACCTATGAATCGCCAAATTAAGGGTTGAGGTAGGAACGTAAACGACGAATGCAATAAAGTGGTTTATGCACTTTAGTAAATAGGGATTAAATATGGAGGGAAAATGAAAGATGTGAGGACAAAGTAACGCCAAGGTGCCTGAAATAGTATAGCCACGTTGGGCAGGATGCCAAAGGAGTCGGGTCTAGGAGGGGGCAGCAGTCAGAAAATACACTTGACTGGTTTTTGGCCGTTCATTAGGAGACCATTTTCCTTCGACCATACTAGGACATGGTGGTGTGACAGACTTTTGAGAGGGTGTCCAACAACCACATCATCAGCATACTTAACCAAAAGACAGTCGTTAGATGATCATCGGTGTGGAGGGAGAAAAGGTGAGGGGATAGAATGGACCTTGAAGAACTCCACAGTCATCGGGAAGGACCGTAGATTCCAGCCTGTCAGATTGGCAGTATCAGTGTGTCAAGTATCAAGTGTATCAGTATCAGTGAAGAAATTGCGCGCGGGAAGTCGAATAATCGCTAAGCCAAGGGACGACCCGGTCTGGAGAGCCGCACGCAGATGTTTTGGTAAGGAGGAGAGGGTGCGGGACGGTAGTGAAAGCGCAGGAGTAGTCAAGGAAAGCACATGTGTACTCGCGATAACGTCTATCTAATTTTTTTTATCGCAGAGTGGACCACAAGAGCAACATCATCTAAAGTACTATGGTTGGCTTTATGCGCAAATTGTAGAGGATCGGAAAAACTGGAAGAGAATGGCGTGATTATATCTAGGGCAAGTATTTCAGCAAACTTTACTGGTGCGAAGAGCAGGCAACTGGACGAAAAGATTAGGGACCAAAATTGGCGGTTTTTAGGGATGGGAGTTATTTTCACTGTACGCCAGGTGTCAGGATTAGGGCAAGGGAATTGGCCAACGCCAGTATTACGGTTGCGATTGCGCTAGATTCCAAGTGGTGGTAGACTTAGGACAGGGGAATCGGTATCCTCCCTGAAATTAGCGCTTGACCAGTTGTAACATGGATGGGGGAGTGGGAGGGGTGTGCCTATTCCCGTGTCCCAACTCTCAAAAGTACACATCTGGTCTGAAATGTAATGCCTATCGTCGACAGTGCCTTTGGCGTCAACCTCCCTGCATATCAGAAGGCATCTTGCTGGTCACTGATTAGCAGGCGCACGAGTACGCCCTCATCACTGTTGGGGCAAAGAAGTTCTAGGAATTCAATGCTAACTTTGGCGCCGCCAATTCCGATTCGCGTGAAATGCGCCCGCAGATGTATGGCCGAAAGGCGTCCTACATAACCAACATGCCTGGTCACCAAAACACTTTATCCGATAGCTATTACATATATGTCTGCATATACGATATGTTTCAAAAGGGGAATATAATGGAGCATAAGGCGCATGCTTCAGACTGAATAGAAGCGATGGTCGATTTACTTGTGGAAGCGAATAAATGTGTTTTGTGCCGCAATAGTATTTGCCTGATAAGTCGAGCTCTTCCATTTCTAAGTAGAACTGTTCAACCTAGACACAAATGGGCATCTGTTTGGACCCAATCTCGGTTGGATACCAGGGTCGCAACACTCCGTTACTGATGCTAGTATTATTGCAGTTAGTTACCCATACTGTAAGCGTTGGTAGAATAGCATTGGCAGCCGTGGTGGCGGTGGTAGTAGTAGTAGTAGTACTAATAGTAGGATTATTAGTAGTATTCGCCGTATCAGCGGTGGTAGACGGGGGAAAAGTTTTCTTCAGTGTTGCGACACTGTATTCCCGCCAGTGGTAGTAGTATTGGTAGTAACAGCGGTAGTAGTGGTAGTAGTAGCAGTAGTAGTGGTGATGGTAGTAGTAGTAGTAGTAGTAGTAGTAGTAGTAGTAGTAGTAGTAGTAGTAGTCCGCCCGTAAGACAGGCTGGTGGGGGAATAGACAATTCTAAGTGTTGCGACACTGTATTCCCGCCCCAATCTCTTCTGACTACTTTTCACTCAATCTGCTCGTCACTAGGTGCTTTCTTGTGGCAAGGAAACTTACGGTAGAAATGAACCCTGAGCCTGCCGTCTCTCCATCAAGCTAAATTCCATAGAGCATCAAAAATGAATTTCAGCGTTCGTTAAAACCCATTAAGCCAATAAAAGGACTACTTCGCTCAGACTACAACCCCATGTTTGTGGAATGCGCGCGGCGCACGTGACTTGAGCCTGACTTGGCGAGAGGCTCACGCGCCAAACGATGTTGTGTCACGTGCTAATCGATTGCCGGTGGACAAAGGTCATTCACAGACACACGCACGCACGCGCACGCGCATGTGCACAATCGAGGCCCTTGCGTCAGGGCCATCGGCCTCGATGACTGGTACTCGGCCCGTTGAAACAATTTCTGCTCCTCCCTACGCCTTGGTGCAAGTGGTTGTGCATCTAGACAGACAGCTGCTCCTCGTAGGCACCAAATATTTGATCTACGTGGCCATCCCTGTGGCCAATCGGAAAGGATGAGAAGAAGGTGAGTCGTTGCTGTTGTCCTTGAACAAAGTCCTCCCATGTCTGCGGGTGGACTTCCAGGCACATCAGAAGGACGCCTGATTTTTGCGGATAAAGGGACTAGTGAACACCATCAGGCCTATTCCATTCAGGAGTCGGCCAAGCAAAACCCTCTTGCCAAAGAAAATGTTCTCCGACTAACCTTATGTCGCAGTTCTGGGGATACTTGGTCCGGCGTCTTTTCCACTGTCACAGAGCAAGAGATGAGTGTTCTGGCAAAGACTGAAGGAAGAATGCAATATGCTGTTTGATGCGCGAGTCCTTCGAATGCATGGTGTCGAAGAACGCTCTGCTACTCATTAGCGCACAGGCAGGACCTCCTGCCAAAGCAAAGTCCTCTCTGATATCCAGGCTATGCACGACAACATCGCTAAGTGGTCTCCTTTCTGCCCCGACACCGCATGGAGTGTTTTATTCGACATCATGCTTATCCAACTAGCCTACCCAATTCTTAGGATGTACAAACTGGCTACGTAACGTGGACGCTACTCTGCTCATCATCGCCATCTTCGAAATAAAATGTTATAGCCGTGTGGAAACGACATCCAGCTCTCCCACTTGCCGGCCCATTCGCTGTGAAAGCCAGTCACTAGAGTCAGAGAGAGAGAGAGAGAGAGAGAGAGAGAGAGAGAGAGAGAGAGAGAGAGAGAGAGAGAGAGAGAGAGAGAGTGAGAGGTACACAAAGTGCCGGAGCCAATCATCTCGTTGAGTCGAAGTTGTCACCCATAGTGCAACTCGGCTACCGTCTGGCGTATCTTACCAGCCCTATTCTGGCAATCGTTGTTTACTCCAGGAATGGAGATCAATTAAAAAGTGTGCCCTTGATGATGCCGGTAAATTGGCTGTCCGCATATTGATTGCGTGCTTTGGAGTCCAAAAGGCACTGTTTAAACACCCAAAGAGACAACAAGCCTCTTTAGCACATCGCCACCCTTACTTCCAAAGCGTTCACTCTGACAGCCCTGGTCGTCCTTACACTTGGACACATCGTCATCGCAGCAAAATGAGGGTCGCAACGACAGTCTGCAAAATCGTTGGCCACAGGACGGACGTCGTCAATCCAGCGAGACACGTTCACATACACTCAGGCAGCACAGCGGCATCAGCAGTAGCATACGACCTCTGGAACGCTTTATTGCCCCACGAAATTGTACCTACCAGCATGCAGTCTCTATTCCGCCATGCACGTGATGAAATAGGCAGTTCTAGTAGTTGGTGCGCGCATGTTCGCATGAGGAGGATCACAGGATGTGTTCAAAGCTCTCCACATGAACCAATGGGGTATCGGGTACGGTGGTGCAGTGGCTGGACCCCGAAGCATGTAGACCCGCAGATCCACGGTAGTGCATTACCAGAAGATAGTCGATGGAAAGTCAGCCTAGCGTGCAGTATGTACTGACTGCAATCATGACCCGCTCTTCCACCCACCCCCTCCCCGAATATGCATCACCATCAACCTACGTAATCTCTTGCATCTGGGGATCTCGTTCAATGTATCAGGAAAATTAACGTCCACTTCACTTATCTCGTCCCAATCTATAAGTGTATGCAAAGGTGTCGGGGTAGAGTTCCAAGCCCTTTG